TTTTTTTTTTTTTTTATCTTACTGTCTTTGGCATGTGCAAATAAACTAGTCATGTTATTTAATTAATTAATTGTACATCTGCAATTGAATAATTGTCATTTTTGTAGGGAACAATTAAATATCATAGCCTACTTATATAACATATACCATAACATGGCACTGAAATAGACAATTAGACACATGGTGTAATAGGTGAACCATAGGGTATTAATGGTAAATGTAATTGATAAGATAGTTGGTAGCTAATAAGTTAGTTAATATCTTATAAGTGAATTTCGAGTTTATTGTCGGGAAGTTATAGGTAGTGCCTGAAAAACCAGTTGATATAATGAAATTATTTGGTAAAATTACTTCATAAGTCAGTTGAAATAGGAAACAAATTTATTTGAAAAAACAAGCCAGCTTCACTTATAAGTCATAGGTTGGTCTTGGTCGTAATAGAACGCGTAACCATTAGATCGACATAATTTTTTTATATATAATTAGGCACATTTTTCATTTGAATATGTCATACTATTAAAAACATTATAAACAGAAATATGACATTTCATATTATAAAGATTTTAAAAAAAAAAAAATTGTATAGTGGTTTACTAATTCAAATGGTTAAATAGTCTCACACAATAATTTATAATAACAATAATTTATTTTATAACAAGCTTGATTTCACTTGTTGGAGCTTTTATGAGCTTTAATGACAGAGGTTGAAAATTTTAATTTCCAATGAATGGAAGAAGGTGGGCTTTTATGAGAAATTAAAAGGTGATGATTGTGCAACACTTCATAAAAAGTTTAGTTGTACTCTTACCTACTCTTTTTTATGAAAAATTTGATGCAACAAATTTGGATAATTTCAGTGGTTAGATGATTGCAGTTGGAATATCTAATTGAAAGTATTTTCATATGACATTTATACTTATATAAAAAGTCATCCTATTTACTAGAATTGGTAGGAAGAAAAGGGCAACTCATAATTAATTACACATTATATTTAGAAAGTTTTTACAGTTTATAAATCATAAAATAGGGTAGCATTAAATGCCCTTAAAATTATGAGTTTTGTTAAATTCATTTTTTATTCCAACGGAAATATATTTCAAAAGAATTATTCCAACGGCAATTCCAACGGATATTTCATACTATTATTTTCGTTGGAATTTTTCAATGGATTCCAACGGAAATTCCAACGAAAATATTCCGTTGGAATGAGTTTTCCATTGGAATTTCCGTTGGATTTTGACGATTCCAACGGTGAATTTTCCAACGGGGTGGAAAAAAAAATTCCAACGGAATTAATTGCATATTCCAACGGAAATTCCTACGGTAAAAAAACCGTTGGAAATATAGCCGTTGAAATCATCAAAAATTTCGACAAATATCAAAGTGAATATGAAATTCAAAATCTCTTCTCATTTTTTTCGTTTTTTTAAATCTGCATCTAAATTTACGTGTGGTTTTGAAGTGAAAAATTGAAGTTCAAAATATCTTCTAATTTTAGTTACAAGAAATTGGGCTTCATTCAACACTTGGACCAATTTACAATTATTTCTTAAATGAAGGAATTTGTAGGAATTTATAGATAATTGTTACATCTACTCAATATAACCCTATTGTTTTTTAGACTTAACGTTGATTAAAAGAGGTAGAAAATAGATAACAACCCTATTACTTTTTAAAATTAAACGGACAAGGCTGTGAAAATAACTCATTTCATATCTTTGTCTCGTGCATCGCACATGATATGTACTAGTTAGTTTTAAAATCTAAGTATAAATAAGAGTTTTTATAGGCCATAAAAGGGAGTAATTCTGTTATATTAAAATGAAGGAAGATGCTACAGTTTTGTTACGGAGTCATTCCGTCGAGTTTGTAACTGTTATATCATCATGTAACCGTCGTAGATAGTTGATTTAACAGTTACAAACTCTGACCGAATGGTTCCGTAACAGGACCATAAATTAAAGTCAATGGAACAACAAATTCTAGGAAAAAAAATCAATAATCCTCCCTATATATAATTCTGGAATGCGCTGAGCCTACGTGACTGCTTCTGGTGCTTCGTAATCCTACTTGGCGAAGAATCATGCTTCGTAATTAGGTTTGGATAAATAATATTGATATATTAATAATTAATAATCTAGGTTCGGACCTTCCATAAATATTATTTATCTAATTTAGGTATTTTAATATCACTTGTACTAATATAACCTTTTAATTATTTGTAATTTTACATAGTGAGGCACTAAGTGACTAATATATCCCTGACTTTGATTTGTTTTCTTCAATTAGCTATTGAATTGTAAATGTATTTTAAAAGTTGATCACTTGTGTATTTCTTATCGGCTTTACATATATTATATATCAAATTAATCATCTTTTGATTATCGTTGATTTTACATATATTATAATAATAAAGAATAATATTCATTAAAATCCATTTGAAAAATAAAATTATTTATCAACTGATATATTTATTACTAATGTAGTTATATGTTGTAAGTTAAAAAGTTATTATAATATGACACATGTAAGTCGCACAAATAAAAAGTGTCATACTAAATATATAATAATATATATTTTGTAAAATGTATTTAAAATTTCAACTACTTTTCCTCATTAATTTTAAATTTTAAGGAAAAAATTAGCAAGCACCCATGTAATAAATGGGTGTTGTATTAGTTAATATATATAACTAAAAAAGTAAGCCTGTTAATTTATGGGCTGTAATGTCATTCACCCTTAGGAGCTCTTGTTGGGCTATGAACAACAGATCCAGCAATCTTATTGAGGCCCGTTAGGCTCTGTTCATTTGGATCAGGTTGTTTGTAATGAGACCTATCGCATTTCCAAGCCCAAATGTCAACCTGCAAAGCAAAAAATTTCAAAACAAAAAGAAGGAAATAAAGAAAGAAAAATAAAAGAACAAATATTGAAATTTCTACTGCATTTCTGATTAAATTTATTCTGCACATAAATTGGTATGCCAATAAAAATCATGCTGTACTATTCCTGCAGATTGTACTATCCAAAACATAGCAATAGAAAAAAATTGATTTTATACCGATTATACGATTTTATTTTTCGTAAGTGCAATATTTAGAATAAAATTTCTAACCATTTTATGTTAAATAAAAAATTAAATCTAAAGTTTAAAGATGAGAAAATTTGATTTTATGTAACTTAAACTTGAGTTTAACTCACTCAAATATTAATGTTGGATTTGCAAACATTCTATATTTGACGAATGCCTGCATAATCTAAATGTGATATAATCATACAGTAGGCGTATGTTAGAGCTCTGGTGGGTTTCATTAGAGACGAGTAGGAATAATCGAATACGATTCTGAGTCCGCACGAGTGCGTAACAGGCTCCCGACGACCAGACACACGTCAGGCCTAGTGTTGGTTTTAACTCAGTTTTGAATGACCGAACATGTTTTAAAAGGCGTCTTTTGAAATATGAACTCATAGAGATATTCAATAACATCTATATAAGTTTGTAGAAATCTTGTTTATTTGAAAAGTCACTATTCACAAGATAAATTTTGTCGTATCTCGAAGACATTTGTCCAAAACTGTAGAGATTAACCAATGACAATTTCGGAACATATTTCACATGCATCGACTTTAATTATATACTTGTTATTACGGAGAACATGTTTCACGTGTATCGACTTTAATTATATACTCATCATTATTTTTCGTTCGTGTTGTTTTTTGCCATTATCCGAAAGACAAGTATGTACACAACAAATAGTAATATTGGGATTTTTGTTCAGACAATTCTCATGCAACCCCACACATTATACATCTTGCATCGAAGCAAAGCATAATTAATATGTACCATAACATGTGCACAATAATGTTAATGAGTCAATTGTTGGCTCCGTTACAGAGCCAACAACTAATGGGACAACTCAATGTGAGGTTGTCCCACATGGCTCCAATGTGGGTAGCCATGTGGGACAACCCCACATGGAGCTGTCCTATTGGTTGTTGGCTCCGTAATGGAGCCAACAATTGACTCCTTAACATTTCTGAACATGTGCACCTCTCTGGTTAAATCGCCATTAATCAATTTATCTATTTATTTATTTATTTTTTAAAGTCCATATATATACATACATAAAGAAAAAACTATAAAGTACGCATAGAAATGCAAAAAATATTTGCAATATTTTAACGATTAAAAATTATTTTTTATATTATTCTAATTTAAATTGATAAAATTATTTTATTATTGAAAAATGTACTAGCAGTTCACATATTCTACATTTCTAGATTAGTTGTTGGAAAAATTTATAATAAATTAATTTTCGGTCTCTTAATTATAAATCGATTTAGTGATTTATAAAACCAACTATTTAGTTGGATTGCTATATTTTTTAATGTTGAATTTTCACTCTTTTTTTGTGTATTCACATATTTTTAACCTTATTTATTTTTTTTTTTCTTAAAAACTTGTAATTTGATAAGCTCTCATTAACAAAAATGTCATGCAATGTAATGCAAAAATTTAAATCAAGTTTTCAACCAAAAAACTTATTTTTCCATAACTTATAGATGTTGCAATTAAATTATAAATACCTAAAATCTTTTTTTTTTTTAAAAAAGTTTGAGAGTGATACGGATTCTAAGTTTTTAAAAACTTCGAACGAACAATTATTGAATTAATCAATCATATTTAAAAAAAAATATTTTCTAAGAATTATTCGATCATGAAAGAACTCGAACTTTGACGAACAATTAAACTAACGAGTTCGAACACGATTTTTTGCTCGAAAAATAAACGAACGAACAAGAACATTGTTCGAACATAAACGTACACGAGCTTAAAGTGCCCATGCTCGACTCGTTCGGTTCGATTATTAGACTAATTTTATGTAAGGGGTAAGGTTACTCCTAGTTTTTCCATATGTAAATATTTACCATACTAATAAGTATAATACCTAATAAATTTTACACTTTATGCATTTTTTTCTATATATATATTTCTTAAAACACTCGCAAGTCGCAACCGCTATATGATAAGCAAATGATTTTCGTTCATCTTATTAATTTTAATTATTATTATTATTATTATTATTATGATAATAAACACACACACACACACATTAACCGCACTAACAAACACGTCCCTTCATTTTCTCGGACAATTGCCCCCACACACTATTCCTTACAGTTACTTGCTTCCCTCTAATTTTCATTTCCTCTCGTAATTTTTCATTTTTTTTCATAAAATTTCGCATGAAAATTTGTCTGAATTAAGGCATTCCATCGCTCGGTACACAATGGATTCCGATAAGATCCATGGCCGGAGCAAATTCTCCTCCTGTTTCAACCCAACCGCCGCCGAGGACGCGCCGCCCGACGACGGCAACAGCCGCCGGAAACAGAAAACGTCGCGCCGCAGCCTCTCCGGCTTCATGAAGGCGGTTTTCTTCAAAATGCCGTTGGTGAGAATTTCATTAATTTTTTATCTC